CAGAGTTTATGTTCCTTTCTATTTTCCTTGATAGGATTTGACTTCCAATTTTAAAAAGGAGGCCTTTTTGCCTCGAGCCACCTCGATAGTCTTCCTGTTTTTTTTTTTAAATTGGACTATACATTTAATTTGAGCCTTTATTACTGTCATTTCCTTGCAGCAGTTTCACTTGTCTCAATGATCCTTTTTAATTTCCATGTAACTTCCACATTTTTTGCAGTTCCCTATTTGAAGTGAAATGCTACTGTGGTGAGTTTCTTTAGCATTTCTCCCTCTACAAGGAATTTAATTCAATTATGGTTGATATTGCTGAGTGGTTCAGCTATATTCACCTCTTGGACCAAATCCGGTGCTCCACTTAGGACTAAATCAAGAATTGGCTCTTCCCTTGTGGATTTCAGGACTAGCTGTTCCAAGAAGCAGTCATGAATGGTGTCTAGAAATTGTATCTCTGCCTCCCATCCAAATGTGACATGTTCCTAGTCAATATGGGGATAGCTGAAATCTCCCACTATTGGATTTTCTGTTTCTGTGGTAGTACGCTACATATCTCGTTAACTGTGTAAACCGATACTTGTAACCTCCCGTAACTCAAGCTTGACCCCAGGTGTACACTGTCTTCCTTTTTAACTTATATCTTGTAAACTTTATTTGAAGCATTAGCTTTAATACATTTTGTCTTTCTAATCGTCAGCATTTCACAATCACGGCCACTGTCCCAGTCAAGTAGTTGATAGTGTATCCTATTGCTGTGCTCTTATTTTTGAAGCATAGCATGTCTATCCATAGCTGTTTTCTTGTACATTTTGACTAATTTAAGATTCTTGTTATATTTGACTCCATGCCAGGGATGGACAATAATTTTTAATGGGGGGCCAATCCAAGATTTTAGTAAGTGGTCAAGGGCCATACTTCTATGGAGGGGGTGTGGGGTCTGGGATGGCATGTGAGATGTAGAAGGGAGTTTGGGATAGAGGACTCGGGTGTAGGAGGGGGTGTGGGGTTTGAGAGGGAGTTTGTGTGAAGGAGAGGGTTATGATCTGGGGCAGGGACTTGAACTGCAGGGTCCAGGAGGGGTTATGGGTGGAGGAGAGGGTTCTGGCCTGGGGCAGAGGTGTAGGAGGGGGTGCAGGGTCTGGGACTGAGTTGTGACCTGGAGGAGGTGGGGAGAGGGGATATAGAGGGTTTGGGTGATGACCTGGGGCAGGGAGTTGGGGGCACAGAGGAGGTGACTTGGGTAAGAGGACTAGCATGCAGGAGGGTCTTGGGCTGTGACCGCAGGCAGGAGGGAGGTTGTGATTTGTGTTAGAGGACTGGGGTCAAGGATCTAGGAAGGAATATGGGGGCAGAGGGGAAGGGGCAGAGGGTTTGCGTTATGTGAGGGGAGCAAAGGGTTGGGGTGCCAGAGGCAGGCTGTGGGTGGGAGACTTACCTGATTGACTTGGAGCCAGCAGCTTTCTCAAGCAGACTTCCTGCCTACCGTGTCCCTGCACTGCCTGCAGGGGCAATGTGGTTTCTGAACAGCTACAAGCCTGAGGGAAGGATGCTTCTCAAGCTGCCCATTGACCACCTGGGATTGTGCTGGGGGGTGAGGGCATCCCCCCCTGAGGCTCACAGATGTTCAAACAGAGCCCCGCAATGGCCACTTTTCCCAGCAACGTGCGGGGGGCAGATAGGGAGTCTATCTGTGTCCATGGGCTGGATCTGGCAGCTTGGCAGGCTGCATCCAGCCCACTAGCTGCCTCTTGCCCACCCCTGCTCTATGCTGTCTTCACACATAGTACCACTCTCACACCAGCATGACCTGTCATTACCATGTGCCATTGATTATCATTGTTCTACTAAGTCTGTGTGATGCCTATAGTGTTAATATCCTCATTCAATACCAGGCACTTGAGATCATCCTGATTTTTAAAAACCATCTGTAAAGTGTGTGATGGGCAGTACTGATCATCTGACCACCTAGTATACCCCCATCACAATTCACTAACGAAAGGAAGATAGCATCAGCCTAGGCAGTGAAATAGCAGTGCTTCAAGGGAAGCTAGAGCTCAGGAGAAGTCCTCTCGCCAGAAGGCTGTTGAGAGGACAAATGGATCCCCATAGCTCTTGACTTGTGAAGGGAGTTTCTCAGATATTAAAAGATTAAATAATAGGGAGGTGAGGATATTGCAGGCAGACAGAAATCAGTCAGACCAGGGAGGGGTTAAATAAGCTAGAGATGGTTTCTGGAAAAGAGATATACTCCTCACAAGAAAAGCTTTGCCTGTTGTAGCTTTGGAGGATTCTAAAGGTTGATGTGCTGGTTTCTCATTCTCCTCGCTTTAATGGTATGAATATTTCATCAAGTTGTCTGAACTACGCAACGTGGCTTATTGAATTCTTTCCACGTAAGCTTCCAGGGACACTACAATATATCACTGTTGTTTGCAACAGACAACATTTCTAAACTTTTTTTTTTTTTTTGCATGCACACTTTTCCCCCAGGCTGTGTATTGATCTCAGCTTGTGTTCCATTGGGTATTGGTGAGCTCTCGTGGGTAGTCCTGGTGTTTCAGGGAACCACTTCACATTCCACCACTGAGGCAGGTTTTACAATCAGCAGTAACAGCAGCTTAGCTCTTTATATTTTAGTGCATCACTTCAGACACCCATGTCTGAAAGGACTGGCTATTATGCGCTGCACTGTAGGGGGCAGGCAGTTATCCAGTTTGGATCTGAATTTCATTTTCACTGTGTTCCCATGTCATGCTGGCCCCCAGCACAGTCAAGGTTGTGAAGTGACAGGAGTGATTCTATTTGCAGATCATTTGAAATTACTTCTTGCTTCAATTTTACTTGTTGCTCATTTCCTGGCAGGGTATTTTACACTTGAAAAAAAATTGAAAATGATCCCTGCTTTTGGGTGAAAGTCCAAAATAGGGCCCTTCCCTGACTTTTAACTCACAAATGGCCCCTCTTCCTTCTACATCCCTCTTTTTAAGAGGTTTGTCTATTGAGCTGCACCATTGGAGTCATAGACTTCAGAATGCCCAAGATCAAATGTTTTGTGTAGGCACAGGATTTGTACACAGCTGGGCAGTCTCTCTTTCTGTTCTCTCTCTGAGCTCACTTCTATTCACTTGCTTTACATGTAAAATCAGCTGGAGGAACATCAAGACTGTGCGGAGGGCAGGAAGGGCTCACAGAGTGGCAGAACATGGAAAATGTGTGGAACTCGTTTAAAAAATGATATTTTTGCATTGGAAAAGGTTCAGAAAAGGGCAACAAAAATGATTAGGGGTTTGGAATGGGTGCCATATGAAGAGAAATTAAAAAGACTGAGACTTTTCAGTTTAGACAAGAGAAAACTAAGGGGAGGATATGCTAGAGGTCTATACAATCATGACAGTTATGGAGAAAGTGAATAAGGAAAAGTTATTTCTGTGTTCCCATAACACAAGAACGAGGGGTCACCAAGTGAAATTACTAGGTAGCAGGTTTTAAAACAAACAAAAGCAATATTTTCTTCACGCAGTGCACAGTCAATTTGTGGAACTCCTGGCCAGAGGATGTTGTGAAGCCTAGGACTTTAACATTAGAGTTAAAAAAGGACAAGATAAATTCATGGAGGTTAGGTTCATCAATGGTTATTAGCCAGGATGGGTAGGAATGGGGTCTCTAGCCTCTGTTTGTCAGAGGCTGGAAATGGATGACAGGAGAGAGATCACATGATGATTCCCTGTTCTGTTCACTCCCTCTGGGGCATCTGGCATTGGCCACTGTCAGCAGACAGGACACTGGGCTAGGTGGACCTTTGGTCTGACCCAGTCTGGCCGTTCTTATGTTCTTATGTTAATTTTGGTGTTAGGGCATGTGATCTAAAGGAATACTTGTATGGTGCGTGCACATGCTTGCGAATGAGTTATGTGGCAAATTCATCAAGAAAAATATGAACATTCTTCACACTGGGCCCATTTAGCAAAAGCCAGTTTTAATAAAGTGCAGACTGTTATTTCACTGTTTGCAGATTTTCTGTGGAGTCCTGAGTATTATTTCTCCCATGGTTGGGACCTATGTGCTTTAATGTAAATGTTAAACAATTATAACCATTTTTTAAATTCTACAGCCCAGCTTTCTAAAGAGTTCTTAGACCTTATAGAAACTTCTCTCTCCCCACTCCTTTCTCTGCTCCATCTTTTTGTGTGAAAGTGGACTCCTTTGGTCTTGTTGCATAACACTACCACAGATGATTATGCTATGCCATCAGTAACCTTCTTGGTAATTTCCGCCATCTGGACCAGCCTTCTTTTCTTTCCTCATCTTGTGACAGTGCATCTCTTTTCAAATCACGTTGACTTGCCTATACCTCTTAATCTGGGTTTCATTCTGCGGTCATTTTACTCTGTCAAGTTATATGGGAAACCGTTTGTAGTGAAGCTGTTACTCAGAATTGAGTTGCATTGTAAACACATGGTTGAAATTATGACTGGTATGGAGAAAGTAAATAAGGAAGTGTTCTTTACTCCTTCACATAGCACAAGAACTAGGGGTCATCAAATGAAATTAATAGGTAGCAAGTCAAAAACAAACAAAAATAATGCACAACCTGTGGAACTCCTTGCCAGAGGAAGTTGTGAAGGACAAGACTATACCAGGGTTCAAAAAAGAGCTAGATGAATTCATGAAGGACAGGTCCATCGATGGCTATTAGCCAGGATGGGCAGGAATGGTGTCCCTAGCCTTTGTCAGAAGCTGGGAATGGGCAACAGAGGATGAATCACTTGATGACTCCCTATTCTGTTCATTCACTCTGGGGCACCTGGCCTTGGCTACTGTCAGAAGATAGGAACTGGGCTACATGGACATTTGGTCTGCTCCAATATGATCCATTCTTATGTTCTTGTAAACATTGTGAATTGTCCATGCACCTCAGCTAGTTAAATGAAGCTATGGTCACGTGCATGTACAAAGTAAAGTTAAAACAATGAATTGCCACTGATCTGTTCTCTCTCTTATAGGAAACCTGATGGAGAATAAACAAGACTTTTCTTACACCACTCCGCACCCAGTGGCAGCAGTAAGTATCACACACATTAGATTTGCTGACATTTTTCCAACTGTGTGAAATTTGCTTGAAGATGTGAGTGCAGGGATTGGAATTAGAAAGCTAATACAGTAACCATAAAACAGTAGTAAGAATAGTTCCCTGTTCACAATTATAAAAATAGCATCTGACTATGAGGTGGCCCATAAGACATGAGCATCTTATGTCCCAGAGGCTCTTGAAAAATGATGAAGGGTTCTGATCCTCTTGAGTGCAACCATGACTAAACCCCCCCTTGACTAAAATGAGCTGTCATGTGATGTAAGGGTTGCCTTGTGCTTCTAGGATCAGGGCCTGTACTTCCCCATCAGCTAGCGCTGCTCTAGGATCTTAGCAAAGCAGCTCAGCAGCTTGTATATGAAAAATAGAATTTCAGGTCGATGTAATAGATGGCCTGGAAAATCCTCAGGGATTACAAAGAATGTGATCGCTGACCCTTAAAAGACAGCCAGAAGTGGGGAAGAAATCATTCAATGGACAGCTTCTTGCCGCTGAGTAAGCACAGCACTGCATCTTAGGCCTAGCAGCGTAAGTCAGGTTTCTGAAACATTTCTGTGACATAAAGGTAATTCTTTAGCCTTTCGAAAACCGCTTAACAAATTCCATCCAATTATATTGCTTGAGCTGAACTGAGCAAATGCCATCGGAAGCTGTTCGAAATATTCATTTGAATAAAATTACCAAGTTCGCGCTGCACCCTTTTGTGTTCATCTTGACTGAAATCCACCCCTTGCCATGAGCCAGCACATCAACCTCTCAGGAGAGCCCACTTTGCAAAATAGCCATCAGGCTCATGAACAGAAGTGCTAGGAGAAACCGATAATTTCCATGAATGTGAAATTTGAGCATTCACACTGGAAACCTGGGTTGAAGCGTTATACAATCAAGAAACAGAAGTAATATCAGATGACTTATCTGTGCCTTCAAAACAAAATTCTCTTGAATGCTGCATAGTGAGCATGCTCGATGAATAGCTCATAAACTGTTACTACAAGAAGAGCTATTCACTAGGGCAGGTTTTAAAAGCAAAATTTTTAAAACGGTTAGTTCTTCTGCCACACCTTCTCTTTGTTGGGCCCAAAATTTCGATTCAAATTAGGTCAGATTTTTGAAAATCAAAACATTTCAGCCAGTTCCATTATCTACCAACATTCTCTGGTGAATCATTCTGAATAATGAATGTATTCACCCAGATCTGGCATTGCTCTAATATAATCTGCAACTAGGCAAAAAAATCTATTACATTATTTCCTAAGAATTTTTCGCTTTGCTCCGTAAGTTACAAAGAAGCAGATGACACTACATGTATGTATTTGAAAATGTGGGGCCCGATCCAAAGCTCACTGAAGTAAATTGAAAGACTCACATTAACTTTAGAGGGCTTTAGGTCAAGCCTATGATTCTGAAGTCAATGAGAGTCAAGGGCAATCACAGTTCCCTTGCTTATGCAATAGAAAAATGCTACGTAGTACCTCTTCGATGTGATTATTTAGGTCACCTTTGTATGAATGTCCCTTTTATTAGTCAGAATAAGTGAGCTCATCTCATTTCCTTCAAATATGCTTTGGAAAATATTCTTGGTATAGCTGGGGATTGAGGAACATGGTGTGGAATGTTGTAACCTTTTTAAAGCACTGGTTGATTTAGATTCATAGCAATAATGGCAAAAATTGTAGTGTCTGAGACAGTTCTGCTGCCTCTTGTTAATTTCCCATGCATTATACTGTCACCCATTTGGAGATGACCAAGACAGAAACTCTATTATAGCAGCTACTTGTGGGTGTGCACTGGGAAGCTGCAGTTTCTTCGGAGTGATTATAAGAGTTGCATCTGTGCAAGTTGCTATGGTGATGCCAAGGCTGATTATAAACTAGGTTAACCACTTCAGTACTTTTTCTATGCACAGCCTCGTCCTGCGGCTCCGTGCTAATCCATCCTTGGGAATGCATGCGGCACCGCCCATTCTTTCAGCAGGGAAAAAGTGGCCTCAAAATAGACACCACTGCAGTTTGGCCTGGTGATGAGTGAAATTAGAGCACCTATGAATTATTGGGAGCTACTAAAAAATGAGTTAGATTCCAGACAAATAACAATAACAAGGCAAAAGGACCAGTGATTGCAAATGGAGATGACTAAAAGAGGGGAAACTTAGATGCACAAAATACCTCCCCACTGCCAAATATACCGCCAGATCCTCAGCTGGGGAAAAGTCCACATAGTTCCATTTGAACTGTATTTCTGTCTTCATCAGGGAATGTGCCAAATTGCTAGGCGTTTACAATGATAAACACTTCTGGGGATCGTATCATAGCACCGAACACTCTGTTGTTTCAAGATGTGGCATGTACAGTGTAACCTTAACTACAGGCCATCCTCGCTACAAGTCCAAGATATGTTCAAAAAAACTTGGACTTATAGGGAAACAACTTAAAGTGGGGATTTTTTTTTCCTGTGGCTTACTTCCATTTAAGCAAATTGGGGGAGTGTTTCGCACAACTTATAGCGGGGAATGGGAGGACTTATAATGCATCAGTTCCTACAAATGGCAACGACTTTATGTGGAACGGGTGTATACCGGGGCAACTTATACCGGGGATACCCTGTACAGCATTCTCATAAATTAGTTAAGCAGTGTATTCGGCTGTGCAGCAAAGGTTACGGTTTGGCAGCAGGTGGTTTTCTTTTATGTAACAGCCTTTCTATCATTACTGAATAAACACACATGTGATAAAAAGACAACAGGGTCGACACACAGCTAATCTATTCTTAGATTTGGCATTTGCTTAGGTGGGTTTCATCACATTGCATCTGACTTGCCACATGTGCCATTTCCCCGACAAGCAGATTTTCACTGCTAATACATTCTGATTCTCATTTAAAATTCAAAACTACTGTGCAGCCTTCCTGCATGGTGCTCTGATGTAAAGCTTCCTTTCTTATCCCTAGGCTGCTGCTCCACAACATCAGCATCCTGTTTATGGCATGGAACCTTCTATAATTTGTGCATTTAGGGGTTCCACAGCTCAGTTTTCTCTGGCTTTGTCCAGCTTTGGCTCCAGAGATGAGGATGTTCAGTGCTTGTCGGAATCCGACCTCTGGGGAGTGTGTAGCACTGAAGTTCTTGGAGTGGTAGTAAGTCCCATCTACGTCTTCTGTGACTGCTACCAAACAGGCCCTTTGGGTCTTTGGAAGCCATCTGAAAGAAAGGGTCTCTCAGTGACAGATGGCAAAACAAGGAGCAATGGTCTCAAGTTGCAGTGGGGGAAGTCTAGGTTGGATATTAGGAAAAACTATTTCTCTAGGAGGGCGGTGAAGCACTGGAATGGGTTACCTAGGGAGGTGGTGGAATCTCCCTCCCTAGAGGTTTTTATGTCTCAGCTTGACAAAGCCCTGGCTGGGTTGATTTAGTTGGGATTGGTCCTGCCTTGGGCAGGGGGCTGGACTTGATGACCTCCTGAGGTCTCTTCCAGCTCTAGAATTCTATGATTCTATAATAACTTGGATTAGGATCTTAGTGTAGCTCTTTCAGATTTTAGTTCTTTGACTGAAGGTCAAGAACACTCTTCTCTTGTGAGGCCTGTAATGGAAACAACATTGCTGGATGTGGAAATGGGGTCAGGCGAACTGCAGAGAGATGGGACAGAGATTCAAATGAGATAACAAGAGCTCTAATTGTGGAAATGAAAATATGGACAGGAGTAGGTGAAAGTCCCACAGGAGCTCATGTTCTCTTCAGGAATTTCTTCAGGAAGTCTGGGCACTCTTTGTTTGTCTTGAGCTAATTTTAAAATTACACCCTTGTGTCTGAGAGCATTGGGGGAGGAGGTGCAATTGCCCTAGGAAATTCACAGGTAAGAAGAGAGAAATGTATGAGGGAAATAAGCAAATTAGGGTGGTCTAACTCTAAAAACAGCTGGAACACCTCTCACCATTTCCTTAAACCCTACTCTTGAGAAACCAAGGGAAAAAAGAGACTCAAAGAAACCGTAGAGATTTTCCCCCACCCTTTTGGCAAGCTGCAGTTTGTCATTCCCATCTGAGGCTGCTGAACACAAGCTTACGTCCTGCTGTCCACCCCCTCCTCTCCTTAGTTTAGAACGGAAATATTATCCCCCTGCTGCAACAGTAAATTCATCTTCAATTATTTTCTTACCAGATGTGTAACATGGGCCAGATTTTCTTAAGTCACCTTTATATTTGCACCCCTGAAGTTGTGCATCTAAATATCTGCTTAAATATTGCCCTCCCCAGCTTAGAATTTACAGTCAGAAGGGACGATCGATAATCTGACCTCCTGTCTAAGACAGGCTAGCAACACCCATACACGCACTTCGGCATTGCTTGTGTCATTGGCACTTGTGTCATTGGCACACATTGAGAACTAACCAATCAACATACATACATGCCATTTGGAAAATCAAGTCCATAGTTTTGAAAGAGTGGGAAATGTGGGGAGGCAGAATTTGGGGGAGGCTGCTTTGAAAAATAGCCTATTCTTTTATGTCCCACCCCTATGGGCAATGTGCAGGAGAAACTATCAGTGAGGAAAAGAAATCCAGGTCTCAGTTCTCTGACCTCGATCATTTCACTTAAGCATCACTAATCAACTGACTATATATTGAGCAATGACTTTCAGGTGTCTATTCTATAGGAACGTGCAAATAAACAATCTCTGCAAATGCTCTCTGGAGTGTTGTATGTATCTCAGGCTGAGGATGCTCCTGTTTTTTCTTAGTACACCTGCCCCATGGGTGGGAAACATTGTAATGGCTCTTGTAGGTGCAGTGATTAACAGAAAGAGCCAGTTTGGTGTGACATGTCAGTGAGACAGGCAGTCTGGTAGCTGCTTGGGTGAGAGGCTGAAAGTGTCACCCATATTCTACCTCTGTATGTGAGGACAAAATAGGACCCCATTGCTTCATGGACTCAAAGGCCAGAAGGGACTATTGTGATCATCTAGTCTGATTTGGTATGGAATATAAATAACATTCTCTTTCCCTCTTCCTTTTCACCCCTGCGATGAATGGGAGGAGCCCTTGTGTTCCTGTTGTGTGTCCAGAGAAGAGCCTAGGAGGACATGAAATAAGCCAGGGAGCCAGGCATGGGGAAGCTAGTGACCTAACGCAGAAATAAGTCCTAAAACTACAGATATGTGAGTAGAACAGGAAATGTTTAGTCAGACGCAGTCAGGTTGTTTTCTTTATTTTTGGGATTGTTGGACTTCTCTGTGCTGAGCACAGTAACTACCTCCTTACTCTGTAACTCTCCAAACTGAATCCCAGGGAAGCAATTCTCCGTGTTTTAATTCTTTTTCAGTTGCTTTGTAACTCCTAGCAAACAAGCATGTTTCACCAATGTGTTTTTTTGAATAGGAATCAAATTGTGGTCTCAAAAAAGGTGATTTTTATGTCCTAAAAAACAGAACAATCTGTGTGTACATGCCTGAGATTGCCCTGCCAAACTACAATTAGAATTTAAAGTTTCCTTTTCAGCTGATTGCAGCAGCTAAGGTTTCCAGCTCTCTCCAGAGGAAGGGTTAAAAGAGCCTGAGGGTCCCTTACAGGAAGGAATTCCCAAGTGCACCTTTCTGGGTTTTCAAAGAGGTTTTTGCATTTGGGTGGTGGCAGTGATAACACTCCAAGGCCAGGGAATCTGTGACCTTGGGAAGGTTTTAACACAAGCCCTTGGTGGCACAAGGTATTTTACAATTTCTGGTGGGCCCTCATCTTCTGCACAAGTAGTGCCACAGCAGGGAAAAGCCTTGACAACCCCAAATAAAAAAAAACCCCAACCCAATCTTGATTCAAGAGCAGCTGTTAATAGAGAATCAACTATGACCCTTGGTATGTAAGATCTAGTTTTCTGGACCATGTGTTGGGCTTGGGAATGAGGCCTGAAACTCTTGAGCTACCTGCGGAGTATCACTTATAGTGTGACTTTTCATGTCTGTTCTCTGCAGGAATCTGCCTGGCCATGCATGCTGAAAATTGGCTTCCCTTGGGTCGTAACTGAAGAAGTGGTGCTGCAGACTGCGTGAGAGCAATAGAGTCTGTTCATGCGTGAGTAAGTGACATAGTATGGCAATGGAGCCCGTGTGGTTATTGGAGTTATTGGAAGAAAACACATCCGGTGTGGAATTAGATCCTGAGCTTTTGACTTTAGGCTAATAAACTGGAGATTGGGGAGATATTTGAAGAGGAAGAACATGATGGCAAAAGCAGAACAGATGTCACACAGTGCTAGAAACTTGGCTGTTTCTAGGGCTAATTTAACCAAACAGTACTGTGGCATGTTGCTTCACATTGGTCTAGGTCAGCAATGTGCAACCGAGGCTAATGAGTGGGCCACATGAGTGGTCCTCCTTCATCTCAGTGGGCTGCAAGATTGTCGTAACAAAGATGGTCGCCCAAGGTAGGGCAGTTTTGCTGACTATGTTTGCATACCTAGAATTTGCCGATTGAATGTGATGATTGAACTGTAGCAGCGCTTTGACTGGCTGCAGACAGAGTGCATGGCTCATACAGTGAGTGTTGTGTGCAGTCAGCCTGCACCTCGCTTTACATACATGTCACTTGAGTAATTCTGGTAGGAAAAAAGCTATGTGGATGGAAACCAACAGAATCTGCCAACCCTACACCTGTCTTTTCGGCTACACATAGAACCCCGATTGGCCCGCAGGCCAGAGGTTACCCCACTAATCTAGCTATTCCTGTGATGTCCCCTTGGGGATTAATGGATCTAGTCTCTCTATTAAAAATGTTAGTTTCTTAACAGTTTTTCACTTAAGACGTGTCTTGTTATTAATGAGCTCTAGTATGTGTATGTGTGGGTATGTTTGTGTGTGTGAATTATTGCCCCTGCTCAGAATAACAGGTGGGGTGCTAATCCCTTCATATTTACAGCTGGAGCTAGCTTCACGTTTGAAACTGATTTGCATTTTGTTCTCCCTTCTCGTATAAATTACAGTCCATGAAATGCAGAAAGTGAAAAGCAGTAGGGAAAAGAGAGCTACACTAGTGCCATTCAGGTTGTTGGTACAGAGCCTCTGGCAGCAAAAGAAAAGAAGAGGCTCTCTGTTGAGGCCAGTCCCCACTGGAAAGGTTTGATGCTGTATCAGGCCCCTTAAGGATTTTCTCTGGTCCTACTTCACCACCCATTTCTGGCTCCCAGCATGGTGGCCAAGGAAAAGGGCCCATTGGGTCACTTGCTCATTACCTGTTCTATTAATTCCCACTAAAGCATCTGGGCTAGGTGGACCTTTGGTCTGAGCCAGTATGGCTGTTGTTACGTTCTTATGGCTGGGACATTCTTACATCCTGGCAATCTGTGTCTGATGGAATGGTCTGTTAGAGCAAGCTGGGGATAAATTAGAGCATCTCCAAGCCTACAACAGTCAGTCCCAGAATTGGGGGCGGGGGAGGGAGATAAAAATGGCTAAAAGTTACCTTCTCCTATGCCACCCCTCCGCCATCTGTGCAGAAGGGTCAGCTCTGGTGGTCTAGGATTCTGTCTCTGCACCAATGTGCAATACTGGTGACAGACATAAACCTTAATCCAAATGGGCAGCATATTTACTTGTGTTTATTAAAATAATGCAACTTCAAATACTTTCAAATCTCCCCCGTTCTCGGCTGAATTCACAACAGAACCCTGTGTTTTCTGCCGTACTTTTTTGCTGGGGGAATTCTTTAACTACTCCTTCAGCTGGAAAATCAATTACCAAGGCATTTCTTTAACAAACTTTTTGGCTTCCCTGGCAATAGGAGAGTGACGAATCTCCTCCTGGAGAGTACTAGATACTTTGCGAGTTATTCAGCAGGGCGTTTGAATTACTAGGATTATTAAATGGAAATCCTGCTGATGACATGGTTTGCTTGATATAAGCCACACAATCAGATTTGGGATTGCTAATGAGTGCTGACCACTTTTAACCAGCTCATGTCACACCAGGGTTGTTCTGATTGTGTAATCTTTCATAAAGATGGGTCCAGGTCACAGAAGAAAAATTGTTTCTATGGGCAATGGACCTTTTAATTTTACCATGAACAAAACCTCAGTTCTGAAGGGATTTCATGCACACAGTGGCCACAGCATGGTATTCTCCCTGGGTCTGGCAAACTTCCAGACAGAGGTCTTTCCAATTGGAAAGTTTCCCTTGTTTGGTGCTTATAAGAACCATATTTCATCTCTCTGGGTTTCACTCACTGCCTCAGAGCCTTTAGCTCTTTATTGTCTTTGTTCTTTAGTTAATTTCATTCTACGGCTTAGTTTCTTGCAATTCAAGTGGTTTAATCTAGCAATGTTCACCAGTGTCCTTACAGGGTGAGGTAGATTGCGTTTTTCACGATGAGCTGGGGTTTATCATGTCATGCTTTCTAAAGAATTAATTCTTCTGAGTAGTGTTACAATATTGACTCATCCAGAAATGGGAGGCAGAGGCTGATAAGTTCAACTTTGTATTCCCGCCCCTTCCCCCATGTATCTTGCATTGTGTGGTCAAGTCTTGCTATAGCTGCAGTTTGCTTGAGGACTGAATGAAACCTGACCAGGGATCTCAGGAATTGGTCCCCATCCTGTTGAGGACTCATTATTCAAAATGTTGGTTATATGACTTTGAAAAGGGGTTTTGGGTCTGCCTGCTGGATGTTCCTCTTTGGCACAATGTGGAAAGCGTGGTATGATTAGACAGTGGCTCAGCAACCACATTTCTCATCCACAGTGTGTTCTGCGTGACACACTCAATTATGCAATGCTGCTCTCTGGTGAGAGGAAGTTTGACTTAGGTTTACGGGGCCAGATTCCTACCTGCTGTGGACTGGTGTCATTTCACTGGCTTCAGTGGAGCTATATTAGCTGACACCAGCTTGGGATCTGGCCCACGTTCAGGAGCTGTTGTAATGATAATTCATAGCTTCAGTATTGGGGTGGGTCAGTATCATTATTTACATTTTACAGGTGGGGAAACTGAGGCACAGAGTGGGGAAGTGACATGCCCAAGGTCACCAGCAGGCCAGTGGCAGAAGTAGCATTTTAATACACTATAATCAGGACACTTTTAAATGGGTGTGATGGGGTCGCAGAACTAGACGTGTCCCCGCCACTAGACTCATTCAACTCGCCCTGCATAGAGCGGGGCGAGTTGCTCCCGCCCCCGGCCGTGGCGAGAGCAAAGCCGGCGGCAGGAGTAGAGCCGGCGAGCAACTGCCCGTCCCCGAGCTGCACAGGCACCTTGGACCCTGGGCCCTGCAACGCCGATGTAGGCGCAATGGGAGGCAGGTCAGGCAAGGACACTGGGAGCGGGGAAAGGAAAGGGGGGAGGGCCAGCCGTAAAAATGAGGAGGATAAAGGGCAGGGAGGCAGGGATCGTGGAGGAAGGACTGAGGACAAAAGAGTGGAAGGCTGAAGGAGAAGCCAGGGTGAGGAAGTAGCCCAGGGCGGGCGGACAGAGAGCTGCTTGTGGGCTGTTTAGGCGGTTAGCCCCGTCAGCCAGGTGGGTGGCGTCCTGACGGAGCACCCCCACCTTAGGGCCCTGGGCTGGGGCTTGGAGAGAGGGTGGGCCCAGGCCCCCCCAACCCCTGAGCGAGGTGATCGTGCAAAGAAAAAGCATTCACGACCACGCTGACTGAGGGAGTGCGGTCGGGAGGTCTGAGACAAGGACCGAGGAGAGCGGGGGCCCGCAGGGTAGGGGGATGGACCCTTTCACAATGTGCTTTCCTTTCTTTTATTTCTTTGTACTCACTAGTTTTAAAAAAACCAAATAAAGAAAAAAAATACATGAAACAATGTCAGTGGGACAGTGTTGCCTTTACTAGCCTGAAAACAAGCTCCCTGCTGGAGTACTTTGTTGTTACAACTCCCAGTTAGTCACCTGCGATTCTGTAATTAAGACCCCAAGGCAAGTGATGCTGCAAGCTGCCCCTTGTTTGCTAATCCTTCACACGCTGCATATCAAAATTCATCTCCTATTGTTCCTTTTGCAATAAAGTGCTACATGCATAAACACGCAATGAATTCCTTGCTGCCCTAGCCCGCGTGAATGAAATAATTAGAGAGACAAGGTGGGCGCGGTCATATCGGACCGACGTCTGTTGGTGAAAAAGACAAGCTTTTGAGCGCCACAGAGCTCTGCTCGAGGTTTGGGACGTATGATCAAGTCATGCATAGTAATAAACTCAAGGAGGTGAAGTTATCCAAATAATTCTAGTTGTGATGCAAACTAGTGGGGAAAATAACTTTAAGAGAAATGTAGGCTTTATACGAAGCAGCTGAACAATGCAACTGAATTCTGAAATACTCTGGGCAGGCAGGATTTCCAGAGGCACTCGAGCAATGTGCATTGAACCACAAGCCCTTGATGCATCGCTTCCGCAGTCAAATGTGCGTCTGACAGCCTTGTCACTGGTGCTCAGTACCCAGCACTTACTGCGTCAGAAGGAGCAAACGAGCTTCTCGGCACATTTCACTTCAGAAAATTTAAGGAAAAAGAAATTTCCGATAAGGTCCGAGCACAAAATATTCACTGTGAAGAGGCCGAAAAATCAGACACAGGGACCAGACCCCGTTGGGGTGTAACTACACTCGCTCTGCTCAGCTTTGTGGGAATGCAAAAGCATTTGACGTTTTCCCCCGGCTCACTTCCCTGCAACCCAGATAATATTAAACTGGCCGTTGTATCTGGGTCAGGTGAGTGAAGTTTTACTGTCTTGCAGTGATCCACAGGGAAGAGCCTCCTCTTGCAGGGGCTGAGAAAAAAGTTATATCCAGTTTGGACTCTGAGGATATACATGTTTCTCCCTCTTTGCTTAGACAGCTGCTTCTCCCCTCCCTACCAGCATAAAGGGGTATGTAACTGCCTCACTGGTGGACATCAGTGTTGCTGGCTGGCTAGCAGGCAACACTATGAAAGAGCAAGATTATGGCTAGCCTGTGCTGCATGTATGTGTGTAGGAGCCTTTCTTTCTTCCCCCACTTGATGACAAAAACAGGTACATTTGCAGCACCTGTGTCCAGGGAGGCTGCTTTCTTGCACAACCCCTCCCCCCCCCCCCACTGCCTCACTGGTGGACATCAGTGTTGCTGGCTGGCTAGCAGGCAACACTATGAAAGAGCAAGATTATGGCTAGCCTGTGCTGCATGTATGTGTGTAGGAGCCTTTCTTTCTTCCCCCACTTGATGACAAAAACAGGTACATTTGCAGCACCTGTGTCCAGGGAGGCTGCTTTCTTGCACAACCCCTCCCCCCCCCCCCCCCCCCCGGCGCCGCACCAC